CCCTACCGCCTCCTTCCCAACTCTGTCCCACCTCCTCCTCCCTCACCCATCCGATTCTTCATTAAGATTCATTTTTAATTATCTTTATATACAGAAAACCAACTCTATACTAAGTAAAGATTTCAATAGTTTGCATCCACACAGACACACAAAGTATAAAGTATTGTTTGAATACAAGTTTTACTGTTAATCCTCTGTCCTTAAGGACAGGGGTCCTACATAGGGAGCAAGTACACAGTGACTCATGTTGTTGATTCAATTGACACTCTTACTTATGATGTCAGTGATCACCCAAGGCTCTTGTCATAAGCTGCCAAGGCTATGGAATCCACAAACTCAGATAGTATTTAGACAGGTCCATAATCAAAGTGGAACTTCTCTCCTCCCTTCAGAGAAAAGTACCCCCTTCTTTGACGGCCACCCAGACCAACTGGGATTTATGCCTGGTATGCAGGGATGGTTCAACATTCAAAAATTAATCAACGTGATACATCACATTGACAAACTGCTGAACAAAAACCATATGATAATCTCAGTAGATGCAAAGAAAGCATTTGATAAAATACAACACCCTTTCATGATGAAAACTCTAAGCACATTGGGTATAGAAGGAACAGTCCTCAAAACAACCAAGGCAATTTATGACAAACCACGGCCAGCATCATAATGAATAGGGAAAAGTTGGAAGCATTCCCACTGAGATCCGGTACCGGACAGGGATGCTCATTCTCACCATTGGTATTAAATATAGTCCTGGAAGTGTTACAGCCATTAGGCAAGAAAAAGAAATCAACAGGATACAAATTGGGAAGGAGGAAGTCAAATTATCCCCATTTGCAGATGTCATAACTCTATATAAAGAAAATCAAAAAACTCCACTAGGGGCCGGCACCATGGCTCACTTGGTTAATCCTCCACCTGTGGTGCTGGCATCCCATATGGGTGCTGGGTTCTAGTACCAGTTGTTCCTCTTCCAGTCCAGCTCTCTGCTGTGGCCCAGGAAGGCAGTGGAGGATGGCCCAAGTGCTTGAGCCCTGCACCCACATGGGAGACCAGAAAGAAACACCTGGCTCCTGGCTTCAGAACGGTGTAGTTCTGGCCGTAGCGGCCATTTGGGGGGTGAAACTGTGGGGAGCAGCTCGGACTAGACTAAGTTACTGGAATTAAGACTTATTCTATGTACCTGCTCTCCCACAATATGGCGCTGGGAGAGAAGAAAACAGCTTCTACACAGCTGCCTCCAGTTCAACCAATAAACTGTAGGACTTGCTCCTGATTGGAGGAGAGCAGCGTGCTCGGCGTGTGGGCAGCCGAGTTGGGATTGGCAGAGGAGGACTATAAAGGAGGAGAGAGACGGCATGCACCAGGAACATCTAAGGGAAACATCTAAGGGGAACACCTAAGGGGAACACCTGTGCAGCCCCCGAGAGAGCCGGCCGGCGGTGTGCCGCTCCCCTGCGGAAGTGGGGAAAGTGGCCAGGGGGAACCGCCCTTCCACGGAGGTGGAAGGGACAATAGCCAACCCGGGAAGAACCAGCAGCAAACCCGGGGAGGGCCGAGCAGACGAAAGAACAGCGCAGAATCCTGTGTCGTTCCTCCACGAAGACGGGGAGCGACAGAAACAATGGAAGGAAGACCTTTCTCTCTGTGTCTCTCTCTCTCACTGTCTATCTCTATCTGTCAAATATAAAAAAGAAGCTCTACTAAGAGACTATTGGAACTCATAGAAGAGTTTGGTAAAGTAGTAGGATATAAAGTCAATGCACAAAAATCAACAGCCTTTGTATACACAGACAATGCCACAGCTGAGAAAGAACTTCTAAGATCAATCCCATTCACAATAGCTACAAAAAAAACCAAATACCTTGGAATAACTTTAACCAAGGATGTAAAAGATCTCTATGATGGGAATTATAGACATTAAAGAAAGTAATAGAAGATACAAAAAAATGGAAAAATCTTCCATATTCATGGATTGGAAGAATCAATATCATCAAAATGCTCATTCTTTCAAAAGCAATTTACAGATTCAATGTGATACCAATCAAAATACCAAAGACATTCTTCTCAGAGCTAGAAAAATTGATGCTGAAATTCACATTGAGGTACAGGAGACCTTGAATAGCTAAAGCAATCTTACACAACAAAAACAAAGCCAGAGGTATCACAATTCCATATTTCAAGATATACTACTGGGCAGTTATAATCAACACAGCCTGGTACTGGTATAAGAACAGATGGATAGACCAATGGAACAGAACATTTACTGTTAAAACACCAAAACCCAGGGTGAGCATCATGACACAGTATGTTAAGCTACCACTTGCAACACTGCCATCCCATATTAGAGTACCCATTCGAGTCATGGCTACTCTGCTTCTGATCCAGCTTTCCGCTAATGCCTTCTGGGAGGCAGCAGGTGCTGACTCAGTGCTGAGACTAGTGCTACCTATATAGGAGACCCAGATGGAGTCCTGAGTTCTTCCTTCAGCTTGACCCAGCCTTGGCTGTTGGGGGCCTTTGAGGAGTGAACCAGCAGATGGAAGACTCTCTCTCTCACTCTGCCTTTTAATAGACAAAAATAAATATTAAAATAAAACTTTTTAAAAATTAAGAAAAAAATAAGAGAGAGAATTTTCCCTATATCATCCAGCTTGAAAGTATCAGAGCCAGAGCCGTACCTCCCTTTCTGTTAGCCTAGAAAGGAGGTCATAGAACTTCTTGCTTGTGTTTCTCAGTTACAGGGTTTATCAAAGCTACCTCCTAATCAGAGTTTTGCATGAATGCATGAGGCAGTCGTCTTCCTGAAAGGTAGGTCCCAGTCCTGTTCACCATTAGAGTCCTTCCTCCAACACTCATAAGGGTGCCTGAGAGATTTCAGGCTCTCACTATGTGCGTGGTTATTTTAACATTTCAAATGGTAAAGGCAGCATTTTATCAACCACTATCCCCTGTTAAATAAGAATATGAAAAGGAGCCTCACCGCTGCCTGGAACCTTGGTAGGACTGAGACTTCCTAAGACATCTTGGAAGCTGGTTTTCTGGGTGGTGAGTTCAGCTTCCTCCCACTCTCTGCTATTTTCCATCCTTCCCCAGCCCGCAGCCCCATTCCTCTGGCTACACTGTATAGTCAACCAGCATAAAAGGCTGTACAGTGGAGAAGTCTGCAGATACTGAAGAAAAGTCTCTGCTTTTAACATCTTGACTTGAGCACAGATTTTCTTTCTCAAAGTTGTCTCTACCCAGTTTCCCTGGGCTAATCTTTGCCTAATTTTTATCATAGTAATTGTGTCAGTGAAAGAGCATGTCCCAGCTCTGTAAATATAGTATTATACTACATTTGCTTTTATTTATACAGGTCTCGTACACATGATAGGTGGTAGCATACTTATTTATGTCTCCCTCTCTCTATCTAGGTATACACAATGGTTTTTTTCCACACCAGTCTCCCTGGCTTTCCATCTCTTCAAGGGAGCTTTAAAACCTCCAGGCCGATTATATCAATGTTTCATCAGACTTCCATTGTCCAGGCAACAGACAATGCGCTGAATGGTTCCAAAAGAAAATCACTACCTGCTGATAGCCAGGGTAGATGTCACTTACCAGATGTCTGGCTTCCATTGTTGCTAACTTGTTTAATTTCTGCACCCAGCAATGAAAGTGTTTTGATCCTTCAAAAGCACAATGCGCTCTGTACCAATTGATTCCAAATGGCCTCTCTTTAGATTGAATTTTTATTTTATTTGCTTGAACGATTTTGTTCCATTTAAACCTGTATTTATGTGGAAAATTCAAATAATGCATTCCAATTTGCATTTCAAAAAAAGAATCTTCGTGTTTATGAAATTACTTTTGAGTCGCAATTACAGTTATTTGTCTCTGAAATACACAACACGTAATTGGGTCAACACTGTTAATGAGGGACTAGTGTTATTGTTAATGAGCTACTAGTGATAGTCGCTGGGTTTCATCCCCAGCAGGTGGTAAATACAATATGTTAAGATAGATAATTATGTTAATGTTTCAAATATCCACAGACCAAAGAAGTCATTAAAAACATGCAACTAAGAGGTTAAAAGGAACAAACACATGAAGTAAACTCTATGTTTACTCAAAGGTTTTTAGTCTCCCCATTCACAGAAACTTTACTGTGTATTTTAGGTTCATTTGTGTTAATTCATAGCCCATTGAAGTGGCAAGAAAATAATGCTGGTTAATTTCAGCTGGTTTTGGGACACTGTCAACATGGACAAGTAATAGGCCTTAATATTTTAGGTTTGAAATGCTTAAACTCACAGAGTAAGCATCATTCAAGCATTTAATAATAATTTTTGTTCCATTCTGAGAAAATCATTTTTGAACGCTTAAGATAACAGACAACCTGCTTCCTGTCTACAAGCTTACAAAATCATTAGACAGGCAATATGCATACACATGAACTTGGCAAAATATAGTAATCAAACTTGTAGCAAAGACATGATGGAACTTGAAAGAAAATATGCACAAGAGAAGTTGGAAAAATTTCTATAGAAAAGGAAGATTCTATCAAACAGAGGTACATTTGCTTGAAATTAGAGAATGTCTAATTAACAATAGCTTTAGCCATAAAAACATGTATATCTATCACATATGATGAAGTTTAAGGTTGGAAAATTCCAGTTTGGGACAAGTAGATCCATGGTGACATCAAAGGCCCATAATGCTTTCCATCTTTCCTCTCAGCTTTCTCCATAATGTCACAGAGAAAGATTCATCCACAATCTCCAATAGATTTCGCTCCATATCTCACTGCATGAACAGCTCCTATGTTCACCCCTTGAAGTTGTCACGAAGAAGGAGAAGCAGATATCAGGGTTCAGGGTTGCCATCAAAAGCTCAGACCAACCATGGATAATCGAGTTGAACTTGGAAGACTCTTGGTCCAACAGCAACATCCCCACTGGAGATCCCACTTACCAGTGAAAAATAAGAGGAGAGTTGAGTAGCAAACCGTTTAGATTTGAGGAGTGAACCAGCAGATGGAAGACTCTCTCTCTCTCTCTCTCTCACTCTGCCTTTTAATAGATGAAAATAAATATTAAAATAAAAATTAAGAAAAATTAAGCTTAGAGAGAGAGAAAGAATTTCCCCTATATCAACCAGCTTGAAAGTATCAGATCCAGAACTGTACCTCCCTTTCCTTTAGCCCAGAAAGGAGGTCGTAGAACTTCTCAGCCAAGGTCGCCATTCCCAGATCATGTTCTCCATAGGCAGGTGGAAAACAGAGGATGAAGGGCAAAGGCTGGGGTAGGAATACTGCACTGAATCCTTGGCAATCAAGTTCCCAAACTGACCAAAACAACAACGACAAACGATAGCCATGAGAAAAGAGGGAAAATGATAGAGCATATCAGGTGGGTTTTGCAAGTTATCTCTTGGCTGTTGCTATTTTTTGTCACTGAGTGTTTGCTGTAGCTCTCAGATGACAATTTTAAAATAGTTCAGCACACCAAATGTTACATCTAAGATAAACTTATCTAAGTGGCTAGATTCTGCCAGTGAATCACAGATGTTGACCTGGTCAGCATTACTGGCACCATACCTAAATGTTCATCCAAATTACCAGGAGAGTTCTAAAAATAGGGATTATTAGACCATACAGTAGAGCTTCAGAATCAAACTTCTGAATATTTAATCCCATGAAAATGGTACAGCATGCTGTTAAGAACATAAAAGCCAATGCATGGCTAGCTGTGAGAGTCAGCTTTCCCCGGGTTATACCACGGTAACAAACCCAAGCCTGGAGTGAATCCCAACAAACAAGGTTTATTTCTTGCTCACAGAACATATCAGCTGTGGATTGACTGATTCCTTGGCACAGCTGCATGTATCTGCCCCATCCTGAAGATTGATACTAGTGGCTATCAACACTCTTTTTTTACATCTGATTATGTGTATTACATACACACACACACACACACACACACACACCTGTACTCCGTACAGAAAGGTTTTGACCCAGTCCAAGATCCAGTTTCACCCCACTGAGGTCAATAATACCCCCTTGAGAATAGATGATCTGGACTAAGAAAAACTCCTCATCCTTATGTCATAGAAGAGGGGAAAGACTGCTGGGTAAACCATGGGATGCCAATGGGAGCTCCGCTTGGGCACAGCTCCTGTGTCCTGCTCCTCACATCCTACAGGCAAGTCATGCCACAGGACCATACCTGGTGTCAGCAGGGTCAAGAAGGACTCGTTTTCATTAGAAACAATGAATGTTGCATAATAACTTACACAATGGCAGAAATTAACTGGGCTCAATGAGTGCATCTATCATACTGCATACTCTCAAGTGGAAAAGTAGAAACAGCACAGACATTCTCAGTCACACGCTCCTAACCACAGTCATTATCCATCTTTATTTTTAATAAGATTCAACATTTCACATTGCTTTAAGAAACATAACTAAGCCGGCGCTGCGGCTCACTAGGCTAATCCTCCGCCTAGCGGCGCCAGCACACCAGGTTCTAGTCCCGGTCGGGGCTCCGGATTCTGTCCCAGTTGCCCCTCTTCCAGGCCAGCTCTCTGCTATGGCCTGGGAGTGCAGTGGAGGATGGCCCGAGTGCTTGGGCCCTGCACCCCATGGGAGACCAAGAGAAGCACCTGGCTCCTGCCTTTGGATCAGCGCGATGGCCGCGGCGGCCATTGGAGGGTGAACCAACGGTAAAGGAAGACCTTTCTCTCTGTCTCTCTCTCACTGTCCACTCTGCCTGTAAAAAAAAAAAAAAAAAAAAAGAAAAGAAAAGAAAAGAAAGAAAGAAAGAAAGAAAGAAAGAAAGAAACATAACTAATGTGGAGATAGACAATGAGAATGCTAAAGCAGTTAGAACATTTTACTATGGAAGAAATATAAAACCTGAAAGGGTTAATATCAGTAACCAAACATAAAAGCTATTAGTTACAGCTTGAGCTTATTTAATGCAATAGCCTCAGAAAGAATGGTGTTAGAAAGAACTAGCAATAGCACAAAATGGGGAAGAAATAACCATGGGACAAATGAAAGGAGCTGTCAGTGTATTCTTTTGCAAAAAAAAAATGCCTTTTTAATTGAACTTTAAATTTTAATGTTGTGCTAATTTTAACAAACATTTTCTAAAATAAATTGATAATGATAAATGCATTGACAAATTAGTTCATTTGTCACTTTCTCTGAGACATGGAGAATGGAGTGTGTGGAGTAGGCAGGCACTAAAAATATTTACCAGGCACTAACTCATGACTGCAACCAATACACAAACTTAGCAGTCACATTTCTCCCTCTTCTAAATTTATCTTAACTTCAAGCATTGCTCTCTGTTCCCCGTCACCATATTCGAGGTCACCATCACCTGCTTGGAAAATGAAGACAAAAAACATACAGGAAAGAAACTTCCTCTACTCTCTTCTCAATTCTGCCCCAATCTCTACACTGTAGCCAGAGTGATCCCCCCCCCCAAAAAAAAAATCTGTTCAAAATGATTCAGTAGCTTTCAGAAATCTGAAAGTCGTTACCACAGCTCACAAGATACATGATGATCTTTGTCTCCTGCTTATATTTCTTGGTCTTTTTATCTTAAAGTTTTTAATTCAGCAATTTTACTTCCATTATTTCCATATCAGGAACTGAAAGCCACCTCTGATGGAGTCAATTTCACTGAAATTTGCTTTAAGGGCAGAAAAACAAATCAGGTTGTCTCATTTTTTTTATATAATTAGCAAAAAAAAAAAAAAGAGCAACAGGGAAGAGGGGACAATGCTTCCAAATAACCTGCATGCAGATGTTGGCTCCGAATTCTTCCGGCTAAAGTCACTTTTCTTTTCCATCTTGAAAACTGTTTTGTTTACTCTTCTGTTCCTGCTTACATTTATAGTGCCATTTCCTCACTCATTTCCCAGGTTTTATCATGTTTTTTTTAAAAGATATATTTATTTATTTATTTGAAAGTCAGAGTTACACAGAGGAGAGGCAGAGAGAGAGAGAGAGGTCTTCAGAGAGAGAGACAGAGAGAGAGTGGTCTTCAATCAGCTGGTTCACTCCCCAATTGGCTGCAATGGCCAGAGCTGTGGCAATCCAAAGCCAGGAGCCAGGAGCTTCTTCTGGGTCTCCCATGTGGATACAGGGGCCCAAGAACTTGGGCCACCTTCTACTACTTTCTGAGTCCATAGCAGAGAGCTGGATGGGAAGTGGAGCAGCCAGCACTCAAACAAGATGCCGGCACTGCAGCCCTGGTTTTATCATGTTTGCTTTCACTTCTGGGCCCTTGGTCACCTATTCCCTTAAATAGATCATTCTTTCCTCTTACCATCTTTTCCATCTGCTAAAACTGTTCATATGAATTTTAGGTGTCTGTTTCCACGTTGCTCCCACTCAAGAGGCCACCCCATTAACACCCTTTCAAGATCAAACCAGGGCCTCTTCTTGTCGCTTTAATTACACATAATTGCCCCATATTCTCTCACTGGGTTATAAACTTAATATCTGCACTGGTTCATTGCTCTTTTTTAAA